AAAAAAACGTTCCCATTTCACAATCTGAAGCAAACGATTGAATAAAATTTCTCAAACTAAATCCAGGTGCTAGAAATTGCATAACAACCAATAATTTAACTCTTTCCGCTTCAACTTTAATCATCAATTCAATATATTTACTTTGTTTTTTTATCACAAATATATCTTTCTCCTCAGATTTTTGACTGTTTTTTTGCTCAATATTTGTAAAATCCAATCCTTTTTCATGCAAAGTATGTAACAATTCTTTCTTTATCAAAGCTTTATTCAGATTCTTTATCATGGCCACTGCTATTAAATCCAAAAATTGTCAAAGTGCAAATATATTCCAAAAATCGTTTGAAAAGTCTGATTTGTGGGCTATAACATTCAATTGAAGTATCCTCGTCTTTTCCAATTTTTTCCATTATTTCTTGTTCTTGACTCATTGTAATTAATCGATCGTTATTAACAACATCTTCCAAGTCTGAACTTATTTTTACAAAACCTTCAAATAAGTCCTTTCTTCTTCATCATTGTTATCATCAATAGCACTCAAAAAATCATCATCATGTTCAACTGATTTGTAAATAGTTCAACTCTTCAGCAGTAGATTGAATCCATATAATTCTCTCCGCGAAATAGTTTTATATATAGAATTATTTCTTTATTCCTTGAAAATTCCACTTCTTCATTTAATCTAGTCAATTCTGACAAATCATTTACAAAGTCGTTTATTAAGTCAGAAGGATCCTTTGAAACGCGAAATATAGTTGAATAACTATTTTCATCACCCGCACGATAATCTATATTTTCATCTGCCAAATTACTACAAATAGCATATGATATCAGAATATTTTCGAATACATATTCTTTTCCTTCAACAGTTAATTCAAGTTTTTTTTCTTTAAAATCTTTCGATGTAAGTATTGTTAATCCATCATCATCAAATGTGTATTCTTCATCGTATAACTCCTCCATTACTTCTCTTTCTATCAAAAAATTATTTTCTTCCATTTCTGTTCACATTCTATCGTTTTCTTCCGATTCAGAAAATAAGCCATTCCTTATATTTTACAATCTTTTTTCTTTTAATTCACTCAAAGTTGTCTTTTTCAACAAACTTTCAAAATCGTAACATGCTATATTTTTTTTTGAAATATAAATCATTTTGATTATTTGTATGATCCATCATGCCATCATCGTTTGTTTCGAGTTTGTTAAGTATGTCGTCGAGTATTTGAAATATATCTTTCACTGTTTCTATAATCAGTTCATGAACATCCACAACACCCGTTACACTGATTAACGTCACATCTGTATTACCGCGTGTAATTTTTTTAATGTTTCTACTTTCATGTTTCAATAGATTTTTCATAAGAGTAAAATTTTGCCCACATACCAGACAACTCAATTTATCCATTAAAACTCTTTTTTTCAAAACCAGATAGTAGTGATTGTTAAATAACATCAGATTTACGTTCATTTTCTTTTCAAAAACAAGCCGACTTGATGATTTTGCTAACAAAGTCAACTTAACTTTTCCTTCTTTTGTCACTTTCGGGATAAAAACCATAATTTTACATTCAAATAAAAATTCCATTGATGGCATAATCTTTACCGAAACGCCCTGAAAAGTAAGAATTTGTAAATATCAGCAAACATTGTAAATAGTTCTGCAGTTTTATTCTCAATTAAAGTTTATGTTTGTTCTTTATCAATCTTTCTCCTAACCAAATCTTTAAGTGTGATTTTTTATCAAGTAGCAATGAAGACAGAGCAATCATTCGAAAAAACATTTATTTTCATTTATAATCTCTTCACCAGATAAATTCTTTTTTCAATCCTTTAAAAATTATATTCATTCGTAAAGCAGCCTTTAAAAAATTACGTATCTTGGTCAATTCTTGTTCAGTCCATTTTTCTTTAAAAATTGATTTATTTTTTAAATCAACATTTTTGATAACATCATCCAAATCTTCATCCTCTGTACTACTTCCAGATTCATCCATCTGTTCGTCTTTTGCTTCAGATAAAATAAACCCACTTTCTGGACTAAAACTATCTTCAAATTCACCATCACTTTTCTCATCACTGTCATCAGAACTTTCCTCATCACTTTTACCACCAATATCATCCATTTTGTCATCGTTTATTTTAAAAATGGTAACTTTCATATTAGTAATTCTTAATATGTGTACACGATAAGATGAAAAAGTTCTTCGCACAAGATCGGAATAATTTTGTTTGTATAACTGCTCTATAACATCATTTGCATCGTTTTTGTTTTTGTTTGTATACAAATTCGGTACTTGATGTAATATACTTCATGATGTAATTCGGTACATGTTGATAAATGTTCATCAACATACCAATGTTTTACAGTAGTCTTTTCCGTATCCAATAACAAAAATCCAAAAGCAATGCCGATTTTATACGGCATTTAATGTACAGCAGCGTTATAAATGTAATTGAGAGACTTTTTCTATGTACTATAAAATATCACCCTTCTTTCCTTTCATAGAATGCAACATAATTTCTGATGCATTATCCAAATAAGCTTGCTTAACGAGATTTTGCCACTCGACTATAACTTTTTTACAGCATTTGTTTATATTTCCTATTGTTCATCTTCGTCGATTTCACGATGGTTGATTTTTTTTCTTTTTCCTCTACCAATTAAATCATCATCATCTTCATCACACAAATCAATCAATCGAAGTTCTTTATTCACAGCGTTAATAAAGAAATGTTCTTCGCAAATTAGATTAATATCTTGAATCTACGGTTCGTACAAATATTTCAATGCGAACAGAGCATTGAGTAGGTATAGCTTCGATTTGAAATCCCAAACGTTCATGCTCTTTTAGCAGATATTTATTACCCAATACTAATGAATTAAATTCAGAATCGCAATGTTTACATCGAAAAGATTGTCTGCAATGATTCTCCTGATGGAGAAAAAGGTCTTTTTTGTTTAAAAGTCGATAGCCACAAAGATTAGAAGCGTTTTCAGAATGATCCTTAGCCACGTGGCTTCGAAGTTTGTATTTTGATTTATATTCTTTATCACACATACCACATTTAAGCGGATTCCTGTGAACCTTTGTCTTATGTTTCCTTAAGTGAGAAATTTTATAAAAAACTTTTCCACAAGAATCGCAAACGTGTTCTTCGCTGTTATTTTGATATACCGATCTATGCAAGGCTAGAGAATGAACTGTAACATATGGTTTATCACAGTATTTACATTGAAAGTTTCTTTCCTCTTTATGATACACCCTTTTGTGTTTTCTAAACATATTTTGAGTTTTAAGAACACTAGAACATTCATCGCAAGGAAAGTGATTTTCCTTTACATGATCCGAAAATGTATCTTTATTAGAAAATTCTAAAGAACACAATGTGCAAAAAACCATATCCGTGTACCTTTGAGATGAGTCTTTATCTTTCGCAAGCCCTTCGCCTCTATCTTTCGCAAGTCTTTCGTCTTTATCTTTCGCAAGCCCTTCGCCTCTATCTTTCGCAAGTCTTTCGTCTTTATCTTTCGCAAGCCCTTCGCTCTATCTTTCGCACGTCTTTCGTCTTTATCTTTCGCACGTCTTTCGTCTTTATCTTTCGCAAGTCTTTCGTCTTTATCTTTCGCACGTCTTTCGTCTTTATCTTTCGCAAGTCTTTCGTCTTTATCTTTCGCAAGTCTTTCGTCTTTATCTTTCGCAAGCCCTTCGCCTCTATCTTTCGCAAGTCTTTCGCCTCTATCTTTCGCACGTCTTTCGTCTTTATCTTTCGCACGTCTTTCGTCTTTATCTTTCGCACGTCTTTCGTCTTTATCTTTCACAAGTCTTTCGTCTTTATCTTTCGCAAGTCTTTCGCCTCTATCTTTCACAAGTCTTTCGTCTTTATCTTTCGCATGTCTTTCGTCTTTATCTTTCTTACGTCTTTCGTCTTTATCTTTCGCACGTCTTTCGTCTTTGTCAGCGACAATCCAACTCCTAAATTTTTGAGCAAACGGACTTAATCGTCGCCTTTTATACTATTGCAGAGAAAATGTCTTTATTGTATTCAAATTTATAATATCAAAGTTCAAGATCAAAGTCTAGAAGTGCAAATGAAAGTGTAGAAGTGTAAATGGTAGCTACCAATAGGAAAATGTACAAGCTACTAATAAAAAATAGTTGCTTGAATTAACTTGTAGTTTTGATAAAAAAAATTACAAAGTCTAATTCAAAGTGAAAAATGGAAGCTGTTTTACTTAAATGGTAGTTTCCATTCAAATGGCAATAATTCAAAATATCAAATTCGATTATTTTCATCACTTAGTCATTAATCAAACATTCTTTAACAATAGACGCTAACCTTTGGTCAACAGAGACTAACCTTTAACCAATACGATTAGCGGGTAACCAATATTTTATTACATATATTTTATTATTATCTAGACTTTTCCCAAAAAATAAGCTCAATTTCCAAAAGTTCGTCAATCATCAAACTACTCGCTATCGAAAAGTTATCGCTCATAAAGATACATTTTTTACAAGATAATGGCTGAAGCAATGATTAACAAAATCACATTGACAAAAACCACTACCACCGTCAGTGTTGTGGACAAATGATTGATAACGCTTTCATTGACGAAGACGACAATCAACTATTGATTAAGCTAATTTCTAAGAGACTTCTACGACCGTAAGTACTAAATATATTCTTTATCTATTTTCTACTGTTTATTTCACTTTTTTAATCATTAATTCTTCTAATTTTTTCGTAAATTATTTGACAATTTTTTTCATTTTTTGGACGTCCAACTAAACGAGCCTTGAGCCAATACTACGATGACGAGGAAACTGAAAACTGGTGATAAGACTGAAGCTTTCCCTAGTAAAAAGTCGGCAGCGGAACCACCCCTCAGTGATGGGAAAGACAACGAGAATTCATGAGAATTTAAGCAATTCTAGAACCTGATTTTCCTTAACCACCAACATTCCGCACAGTAAACACCAAAGCAAGATCAACCTCTCCCACATCTAAAACACAACAATCTGCACAACCTGCACCTGTACCGGAATCTCAACCATCACAAACTGCACCTGCACCCGAAACTCGAGAAAGCAACGAACAACGAGAACCATCAGTAACCCCATCCAGGGACCGCGCACCAGTCCAAATGCGGGAGGGCTGAAAAGGCGTGACCGGAAATTTTTTGAGGCCGCGCCCTCTAAAACGCCGGAAACCCCTCTTTTAGATAATACTTGCCTATTTCTACTGAAGTTTTATACACTCTTTTTTTTATAAGAACAATTTTATAAGAACACGAGCCTCAAAACTGGTCAAAAGTTAAGAACAAATTAAGAACAAGCTGAGGCTGAGCTTCTGCAAAATGCAATTGTGAACAACGTTTTTTCTCAAAATCGAGGATTTTTAGCGATGTGTGGGTGCTTTTTCGGTGAATATTCAAATTGTCAGCAAATTAAGGCTGTCTCACTCACTTTGTTGGCAAATGAGGCCTGAACACCTCCTTAGAGCGGAAAAGCTAGCAATACCACTGCTTACACCCTCTTGATTTAAGAACAAAATAAGAACAATCCAGCCTCAGATTTTCGAAAATATTAAGAACAGTCAGCCTGAACTTAAATTGACTGGTTCTTATAAAAATAGAGTGTAAACAGTCTGGTTCAGAGAAGATATCAATAGCTATGAAAATAGATAAAATTAGCTTGGGGATAACAAGAAAAATAACAAGAAAAACACCTAGAAATTGAACAAAATGGGTTCTCCGGTGAAGAAGAACTGCTGTTTCTTTGGGATATTCTATCCAATTTTGCGCTAGAGCATAGTTGGAGTTAATTGTCCAAAATATTTTCTAACCTATTATTGCAAAAAAGTGGAGGGGCTATAGCCCCTGCTAGCCCAATGGCTGCGCGGTGCCTGACTCCATCACCCCCCACAAAACCCACACCTACCGTACTTCCAATTTGCGGAAGCGTTTAATAACACCACTTTTAACGATTTTATAGACAAATTAACTTCTGTTATTCCAGCTCTAATTAATGAATTTACTATTCAAAAACGTAAACGTATTTATAATGTTCTTCATAATAATAAGAAAATGTTAATCATTTACACCATTAACAGCTTCATCTTCGATATAGTTAACTTCGCCTCTTTTGTTCTGAGTGACTTACTCGCAAATTATGAAAACGATTCTCAAACTATGAAACCAACAAGGGCGTCACTGGAGTATGCAGTATGGAGTATTGAGAGAGGTGCAACCTACAAATCCCTCAAAGCCAAACAAAACAGGCAAACCAAAAGGAAATTTTACACCTAGTCCCACACTTGATAGAAATCCGTTCTAGAATTGTATATGTCGATCCGCTTTTTGACATCTAACTTTTACACGTTATTAGATTGATAAATTAGTATAGTTTTTCGTAAGTTTTTCCGTTATGGATTTTTTGAATATCTTCGTTCATTGTAAAGTTTTACTGGTGTTTTTAATACATCAATTAGTTTTGCTTTTTTAGTCAACAACTATATTTTTGGTCAACAACTCTAAAACAGTCACTCCATTGTTTTTTAAACTTTCATCTAAAATCGAATCCCCATAGCCATGCAATAAAGAAACTGTGTGATAATCTCCATATATTACAGCAATATGTAGCGCTGAATTACTTTGATAATTTTTTCTATTCAAATCGCATTTATTTTCAATCAATAATTGAACAGCTTTATACTTCCCATATCTTGAAGCACCTTTACCGGTGTCTCACAACTTATATTTTCAGCATTTACATTTGCTCCCTTTTTTATAATACAATTTAGTAACCATTTATGATTTAACCATACAAAAATATCATCCTCATCAATATTTGAAATTATCCTATGTAGTATAGTATTACCGTATTGATCAACTTGATTTAGAACTTCATGATTGTCTCTTATTAATTCGTTTATCTTTGTTACATGTAACAACTTATTTGACTTTAATTGTAGTATTTCTGGCAAATCTTGCTGTAGCGTAAATCTTGTTAAAAAATTTTCTTTCGCCATGTCTGTTTCTTTTTGGTAGTCAATTTCTTCATCACTTAGAGCATGTTTAACCACTTTTGTTCCAAATAGAAAATTACCCATTTTGAAAATAATAGCAAAGTTTCTTGAAAATGAGAAAAAACTAAGGAGTCAAAAGATTGAAGTCTTTTTCGAGAAATGGAAAAAGTTTAAAGAGAATTGTCAAAAACTGTAAATATATATATATATATTAATTAACGAACACAACAAATAATAATTTAAAAAGTCAATTAATTTTATATCTTTAATTTTTCGCTTAGACGCTGCGGAGCAATCTCAACCTCCGCGCAGCGCTGTGCAGGAGCTTTAGGTTTAAACCACCACAGACGGCTCCCTGCTATACACTACTATACTCCCTCCTTCCTTTCCCGTGTAAGGGCTTAGCTATAGTCACTTGAGCTTTTCCCCTGCACTACCAACTAACAAAAATAGTGGCAAAGTTCTCAATCTGAATCGGTTGTGATGTTTGATGAACTAATAGAGAAAACTCGTAAAACAAAGAAAATTGCAATTTCAGAAGGGCCTTAATTTCTATGGAATCTTAAATAAACTCTGCGAAGAGAAAAATATTCCGTGTAAGAAATAAAACATGTATTATATCAATATATGTTAATTGGCTTTATAAATTTTAGTTAGAAATGAGATGCTGCAAAAGCATATTTAACTATGTTCAAATTAATCAATGATATTATATTATAAAACAACGATTTTTTTCATTTTAAAATTTCTGCATTAAACTACGAATAAGGTTTGACATAAAGGAAAAAATGAACTTTGATAAATACTTTTCTATGTCCTCATGAAAATTTACGGCAATTCTAAAATTACAACAGAGGTATAGAATACAACCACTTTACAATAACGATACCCCAGGTAGCATTGAATTTTATTGCAACCCTCCGGCCATTCACAACTAGCTCGAAGCCTTGCCTAAAGAAGGTAGAACATTGAAACAGATCAAAATAGGGGGCTGCGATGGGTGGCGGGTTGGGTGGGATTAATGAAGACAATTCACATGTTGTATCGTTCACACAATATTTCTCATGATTTCAACATATGAGTAGTTAGTGAAGTATCCTTTTCCACCCACATCTTTGATCTCTCCTATGCACGACTTTAACCCCGTATATATATGTGGCTAAGCAGTGTTGTACAGAGCTGTACACTACTGGCAGATCTGTGTGCCGGCAGTGCCAGTGGATGCTGTCTTTACTACAGTTCCTCGATACATTTTTTTGTTCAAAACTGTTACTTACATCAAAAAATATGAAGAGTCAAAGAATATTAAATGCTACAAAATTATCAACAAAGTCCGACAAAAACTTTAAAGATTTTTAGAATTCGACCAGCGATAACAACAGTTTTTACCCCTGAACAATTCTACGCTATCAAATTAGTTGTAGAAAATCATCGAAAAAAATGACGTTGAAAGCAACAACCTTTTACTCTTGAGAGCATATAAACCGAGCCTGTGAAACCAATTATTATCAAAAACGTGGGGATAAATTTCAAAGTTGGTCATTTGATGTGAGATCCAGTTATAAAAGTGTATTCAAACATGATCGTACACAAGAATGAGGTCAAAGAAGGAGATGACACCCAAATCCATCAGTCTAGTCAACAAGCTGAAGATGTGTCAAGTGGCCTAATATGCACAGCAAAAAGCCTAACCCTCACCTAACTATAACGATCACCTAAACATCGTGTTTTTGCACGTACTGTGACAACTTGGGTTCTATCGATTTCTTTCTTAGGGACTTTTGTTTTGTACATTTATCACCGTTCTCCGTTAACACTCCACTATTTGTATCCCCTGGCAACTGCTTAACTATCATATCTAAACTATCATAGAATTTTGGAGCAAAATGAAACAGAAACAATGGTGAACTCTTAATTCATGACTGGAGATTTCCCGCGAGAAAAATTATTTTCATGTGATTTCCAGTGAGCAGTGGCCATAGGGTCACGGGGAGAATAAAGCCCTGCTTTTCGAAATGTCATCCATTAACTTCTGGTCTCAATGACTAATTTAAATCAAACTGTTATTACGTTTAACTCAAAAAAACCACTACCATAAATAAGTAGTACTAAACGCTGCATAATATTTCCAGTGTGTGAAATTTTACTAAACTTGATTTCTTCCCGTTATGATACAATGCCTGCCAAAAGTACTTGGAACAATTGACAGTGTATGATGTGTTTATATATTTTTAAAATCTTTTCCGAATACTTCCGCACCCCCTTTTACTTTCTAGTTTAGACAAATATCATACAAGTCATAGGGAAAACGAACTTTCTAAACTCCATATCGTTTTGTAGTAAAGGAACCTTGCTCAAAGGGGGAAGGGATGGCTGAATTTGCCCTTGAAAACTAACGATAGCGTTTCAACACTTTTGGCAGCAATTGTATGTATTCAGTTCGTGCCATGTTATGTTCTTTCACTTCCCCAACAGGGTACCGTTGGGTTACGATACGCATGAATCATGAATAATCAGGTAGAGGCTCGGATTATGTACTTCTCAAGAATTTTGGCCCCATCATATCTTTTTTTCTCTTTTAAGACCTCGTACAATGCAGGAACAGAGGCATTTTTGAAGCCACGATACTGTTTGAGCATTGCAAAAGCAGGATAACTTTGGCTCTCCAGAAAAAAAATTTCGTTCACACTGAACCCAAGCCCACAAGCAACATTATGCCAGTCATTATTGACTTTGATGTTTAGAATCATGGCCAATTGGTCTAAATCTGCATATTCCAGTTCCTCGATTGTAGTTGCACTCCAACTGAAACTTTCAACTAGAATAGAACAGATTTCAAATTCAGTAGAACAGATTTCAAATCCAGTAGAACAGATTTCAAATCCAGTAGAGCAGATTTCAAATTCAGAAGAACAGATTTTAAATTCTGTCCTCTGTATCAGAAATAGCTTCTAATGAATAAGAATAAGGAACTTTTAAGCCTGGGAAGCGAATTCAACATATGGCTTAAATGCATTCGCTTCTCAAGACTTATCAAAACGTATATATTGAACTGATGTTAATCATAAATAAGGAAAAGAAAAATAACGAAAAAACAAAGCAAGAAAGATTAAAGGAAACTGACATAGTTACAACTAATAGAATAACTAAGTAACAAAGAAATAATGCTAGATATCTATTCAGAAGTTTTGAGTAAGGAAACTTTTTATCTGTTTTTTTTTTCATTTTAATCCGATGTTGGCGCGTGAGGTTCATTCTTTCAAGCAATTAAAACTCTGATAGTGTTTGTTCATGTAACAAATATAAAAGAGACTTTAAAACACAAATCTATTGGATTGTTCCATCCCAAACTTGAATCATCCCAAAACAGAGGTAATCAAATGAACAGGAAAATGATAAGTAACGACGAAAAGGTGATTGCTCTTAGTCTATATACGTTTTTCAACCCACCGTTTTAAATGATAAAACGCAGTTGAATAGGAAAAGTGTGAATTTGAAGCTGACTCGCATTGATAGTTGATGACTCCTTAAATCAAATATTTCATAACTTTTAGATAAATAGCATCAAAAGGGGAATTTAATATAGCATTAAAAGATACCTTGCAATGTTGCGGGTCCATCAACTGAAAAAAAATTGAAGAATGATAAAACATCGATAAGAACAAGGACCACACCTATGTTAGAAAACATTTATATTTTTCTCTTTGTTGCTTAAACAACTTATTCTGAATCGAAGTTTTCAGGAATGTTTGTTAACTTCTTGTACAAAAATCAAATCCTTGTATAACTAAAGTACAATTCAATGACGAATCAATTCTGAGTTGTGACCAAGTTGGAGTAAAATTCAAAGGGTTGTGGTCACACTTATATGGAAAAATCTTATAAAAACCTGTCGAAAGTTTGCCAAATTATGTTTTAAAATGGATGATGTATATGGATTGATCTAAATGATTATGTAAATGATTGGCTTATGCAATCCTTAATGGAGCTGATGAATCGCTGTCATTGACAAGCATACAGCAAACATCAAGTACTCACTTTGGTCAGTAAGAGGGTTCACTACTCCATTTTGTGATATTTGCGCTGGGATAAAAAAAGTTGAAATTAACAAAGAGGAAACAGTTTTAAGTGAAAACATAAACGAAATCGTAAGAACCAAAGCTGAAATTTGTGATAGCTAACAGTTAAATTTTCAGATATAATGTACAGTATAAATCACTGTATAAGATGAAGATGATGGTAGGATGAGAGTAAAATTTGTAGAAGACAACACTCCCAGAAATAAACTTACAACAAGCTCTGTGATAATCCGCTTTCGTTTGCCTGTGATTTGATTCCTCTGCATAAGAAGAAAAACGAAATTTCAACCTTGAAAGAGAAAATCTAAAAGCGCCTTAACAGACAAAAACTGATCTGACTTGTATTAAAAGATTTTTAGACAAATCAGTATTTCAATATACTACAGTTTTCACCATGTGAAATTTTAAAAGATCCACAATTAAAGCTTATGATAATTCCATGAAACGTATTTTCACATCCTCTCCAAGGGGGTCCTTTTAACTTCTTACATAGATGAAGTAGGGTCAATCCAATAATTATTGGTAAGAATTTTGAACCAGTACTTTTGGGTACCTGATTTAACAATATATACCTTTTTGAAACTCTTGGGCATACCTCATTAATGTTTTAAGAGTGGCGCTCGCAGGCACAAAAGTCCATTCTCCCAATTTCTGCATACACTTCTAAATTGATCATTTATCTTTATGATTTTACAATCATGCCCAAATCGTTACTTCAATGTCTTAATTAAATCATTCTCAATAGCTGATATCGAATTGAGTGCTTGTCTCATTCTCTCTCTTTCTTGTCTCCTTATCTCCCTATTCTCTTTACTTTTCTAATCTTCTCTATTTCTCTCTACTAATTTATCTGTTCATATTTTTCAAGAGAAAAATCCTTAAAAATCCTTAAAAACTCAGTTGTTCTAAGAAATCTTGTAAGCTGTTTGGAAAGAGTGATATACTCATTGTGCTTCTTTAAGCTAAAGTCGCCAAGCATTGTGTTTGGCAATAATTGTGTTAGTTCAAGTAGGAGAAATAAAGTAAAATGTAGAGAATCCATGTCTGAAGTATTGGAGCAAAATCATAAGAACATCATGGGCCTAGCGGATGCTAACTGTTTAGGAGGACTTTGTATGGAATTTTCCCAAATATTATTGCTTCATTCAAATATTATTGTGAAATAGAATTGCCCCAATGGAGCCTGAAATGCGACAAAATGATTAGGAGGGGAGGGGGCTAGCCTGAAATGTGATAAAATTTGTCTGATTAGGAAGGGAGAGGGGCTGCATCAGTTGGATGTGCATACTATTCTGTTTCCCTCTTCAAACGTCTGAGGTCATGAAATAGATGTTATTTAGACTGATAATCAAAGGAAACAGTCTTAGTTACTATAACTAATAGTTTATTATTTTTTCAGCAACAAGATATTGTATTTTGGTTGATACTTATGGCTCTGTTTAATTTGTTTTAATACTTTTAGATGTGATTTGCTGCACTATAATTATCATACTCTAATTTATTTCTTACCTGGCTTTTTTAGATCACAGACAACATCATCACTCACTTTCTCTACATCTACAAAAAGAGAAACAACGTTTTAAGGTGATGGCAAATGAGAAGCAAAAGGAAAATAGGCATTCAGAAAAGAAGAATTTTGAATAGATTTTCAGCCTTTGTCAATCTTGCTGCTTATGCATGACCATAAAAACTCGGGCGGCTTTATTTGATCAATGGTTCTAAAATGGAGCCAGGACCTGATTTCCCTGGATAGTTGAAAGTGAAACCTGACAAATACCTTCTGTTCCCAATCTTAGACATTCTTTATAAAATAGATGGTCCACATGTCATACCTTTGTGAAAAATGTTACTCCAAGATGTAATACACAATGAACTAGCAGGATGCACATTTCCTTTAATTTTCAAGGCATTTGTTAAATTTTAAAATTAAAAGAAGGAAAGCAAATAATATACAATTTGAAGCCAAGATCCTCTTTTAAAAAATCCTAGTATAATAAAGGTAAAAGCTTGGAATTTCCAACTAGAATAATTGTGTTAATTCTAGGTTTTAAAATTAAAGTCTGATACTTTGCAGGGACTTAGTATGATTTTATAATTACTTTGCCATTAATTTGATTCTGGAATTATGAGAGGACCTAACATAGAATAAGTGTTGAACTAGCCATCGTGGTGGATAAACGAGTTAGTAGAGGAATAAATACGCGATACTTAACGCCATTTTTATATTATATCAAGCGAACGAATAATAGAACACGAGGCAAGATCACAGGGTTACAAAGTTACATGGCCCAGTCCTCCTAACAACAACAACAAAATTTGTAACTATGATTAAAAACTAAAGTTTAATACTTAACACCCCCACTTAAACTTTATGTAGTAATTATATAATTATAAATTCTAGTTAATGAAGAACAACAAAACGCAGTGTTATCAAATAGTTCAAGTTTATATTCCCATCATTACTGCAATAAATTTCTTGAGCTTGAAACTGGCAATTGGCTTTGTAAAGACATCTGCAATGTTCTTCGCTGTTGGAACATAAATCAGATCCATAATACCTTCTGAAACTATTGATCTAACAAAATGATATTTTATGTCTATATGTTTTGATCTTTGATGTACCATAGCATTTTTAGCTAGAGCTATTGCACTTTGGTTATCACAATGCAGTACAAACTTGTCATATAAAGTAGAGTTTGTCATGTCTTTCAATAACTGCATTAAGAATATTGCTTCCTGTGTTGCTTCTGCTAAGGCCATATACTCAGCCTCGCAGGTAGATAGAGCAACTGTTCTTTGTTTTCTACTTTTCCAGGATATCATGGGTCCGCTGCTTACTAACTGGTATGCATAGCCAGTAATGCTTCTTCTGTCTTCAGAATTAGCCCAATCTGCATCACAATATCCGAATAAATGCATTTCGTCTTTAGATTTGTGGAATATCAATTTCTGATTCATTGTTCCTTTCAGGTAACGTAATACATGTTTTGCCATGGTCTCATCAGCTGAAGTAGGGTTTGCCATGTGTTGTGCTAATTTGGTGACAACATAGCACAAATCAGGTCTAGTTGAAGTCATGATATATATCAAGCTTCCAACTATCTTTCTATACAACTTGGAATCAGTTGGATCAGATGTATTTTCATTTGCCTTGTATGAACTTTCACAAGGAGTACTTCTTGTCTTGCAATCTGTCATGTGAAATCTTTCAAGCACTCTCTTAATATATTCAGTTTGATTCATTGTAATTTGGTTACCTTCTCTGCTGAACTGTATGCCTAAAAACCATCCAATTTCTCCTAGGTCTTTCATCTTGAATTTTTGGCAAAGAAAACTTTTTACTTCATTGAGTGAAGACATGTTGCTGCTGGCAATGATAATATCATCTACCCATACAATGATTATTATCATCGTGCCCCCAGTGTTCTTAGTGTATACACAAGGATCTGCAAGGGACTGTGTGAACTTATCATTGATTAACTGAGAGTGAAGAAATGTGTTCCAATTTCTCCCACTTTGCTTCAACCCATATAAGGATTTGTTTAATTTCCAAACTAATCGTTCACCCTTTTCACCATTCACTGTATATCCCTCTGGTTGTTCTACATATACCTCACAGTCAATTGGTGCATTCAAATATGCAGTTTTAACATCCATCTGATGTACAATGAGATTGTTTTGGCTGGCAAGTTGCATTAGCATCCTTATTGAAGTTATTCTAGCTGTTGGTGAAAAAGTTTCATTGTAGTCTACATCTTGAGTTTGAGAATAACCTTTTGCAACATACCTGGCTTTATATTTTAAGTCATTGTTGGGGCCAATTTTCTTAGCATAAACCCATCTTCCTCCAACTAATGTTTTCTCCTCAGGCAATTTAACAAGATCAAATGTTTGATTATCTTTCAGTGCACACATTTCTTCCTGCATAGCAGTCTTCCAGTGACTTGCTTCACTAGAAACTAATGCCTCATCGTAGGTTGTTGGCATTTCATCCATACACATAGCATAACAAAAGTCAACTGTATAACCAATATCATCTGATTCAGTTACATAGTCCTTGAAATATTTTGGCTGTTTGCGTTCTCTTGTTGGGTATCTCCTTTCATGTCCCTTTCTTTGGCTGTCTTCACCTGGAGGGTCTAACTGAGCAGACTGTTCAACTGTTTCCTGCAATTCAACTTTTTCATCTTGTTCAGGTTGTCTCTCTCTTCTTATAACTATGTCTTCTGTGTCAATGGCCTGTTCATACGAACTTGTACTGAATTTCACACATCGCACTTTCCTAATATTGCCACTATTTGGAAAGTAAATCAAGTAAGCAGGACTGTTTTTGTCATACCCAATAAATATGCCTTTCTCACTTCTGGCATCTAACTTTGTCTTGTTCTGTTTATATGCAAAGCACACAGAGCCAAATGTATTCATATTACCAATGTTAGGTTTATGGCCTGTGAATGCCTCCACTGCTGTCTTCTCTGTTCTTGGATTATAGCACCTATTCCTCACATATACTGCTGTCATCACAGCATATACCCATAGTGACTTTGGCAGTGTAGATTCCAATAACAGACACCTTGCCATATCAAAAATGGATCTCCAGGACCTTTCCACTGTTCCATTCTGGTGAGGAGAATAAGGTGCACTCATTTCCTGTTTTATTTTATTCTCTATCAATAGCTGTTTAAACTTCTCACTTGTGAATTCTCCTCCATTGTCACATCTCATCCTCTTAACTGTTCCATAGACTGCAACATCTGCTAAGAATTTCTCCATTGCATGAATGGCATCATTCTTTCCTTTCAGAAAGTACACCATGATCAGACTTGAGTAATCATCTACAATGGACATCACATATCTGAAGCCATTTCTGTCTGCCGGTTCTATCGGTCCAGCCAGATCAACATGTACCAACTCAAGTGGTGCATTGGCACGTTTATCTGGACTTCTGTTTCTGTACTGTGTCATTTTACCCTCTGTACAGATGTCACATTGGAAACTATCTTTACTTGTAATCTTCATACCATCTACAACACCTTCCAATTTGATAATATCTCTTGAATTACAATGTCCCATTATTTCATGCCATTCTTTCAAGGTGTGTGATGTACTCTTTGTCAAGACTGTACTGCATAGGTAATAAAGTCTACCACTCTTCTTTATATTGAATTTTGTGCCATTTGGACTGATTAATTCTGCTGAATTTTTCTTGAAATTTATTTCTGCCCCCTTTTCTGTAGCAGCTTGTACAGATAGGATGTTTTGCTTGAATGTTGGTACAAAAAGAGCATCTTTTAGAATTGCTTCTTGCTCATTACCATCAGAGTCTATAAGACAGATACGTGCATCTCCTCTTCCCTGTGCAGTATTTCTTATTCTGCTTCCATCAGCTAGTTCAATGAAATGTTTTTCTGAGTCAAAGTTTGAGTCCATATTTATAAAATACGACTTGTCTTTCACAACATGTGTCGTAGCACCACAATCAACAAGCACTGTTTTTATGTCATGAGCCTCACAAAAGATTTCATCTTGGCTGCAACCAATTTTGAAAATGAAAGAGTGTTGTTCAGGGCTTTCTTTTGCAGCTGATTCTGCAACTGATTTCACAGAGTCTTTCTTCTTTCTACATACATCTGTATTGTGTGTATTGGTTTTACAATAATGACACCATTTCTTCTTCTTACCATACTCAGGGCATTCTGGGTCAGTTGATTTGTGGTTTGGTTTGCCACATGTGTAACACACTATAGGCTTTCTTCGTGTGCCAGAACCAAATCGCTTAGAAAACTTCATTACACTGTCTCTTGGCTCTTCACAGTAGGCTTTTTCAGTTTCTTCAAAACTTCTCAGGGCTACTTTGAACTCAGTAAAAGTTTGATCTTTGTCCTTCTGAGTAACTACAGTTGAAAACGGTTTAAATTTCGCTGGTAGCCCCTTCAACACCATTGCAATAAGAAGGCTGTCGCTGATTGTTTCACCAGCTGATTTTAAAGATGTAGCAGCTGTTTCAGCACGGATTATGTAATCTGTGACACTCTCTTCATCTGTTTTCTTGAGTGAAGTTAGCTCGGTGTACAAAGAAATTATTCTTGGTTTTCTTTTCGAAAGATAATGTTCTCTTAATATCTTTAAAGCATCTCTACCCTTGTCCTTGGCATCCCGCAGCACTAAAGACAAACTTCTGTCATCCAAGCACTGAACTAACTCGGCAAATGCTTCTGCATTTTTCTCTCCGTTCAATTCTTCATCACTGACGCCGCCTTCCTCTTCCGGGAGAATAACTTTATGAAGTTTCTGGAGCCTCATTAGGCCTAAAAACTTAACTTCCCACAGCTCATACTTCCTCTCATCACCATCGAATGTCAGGCGTGACCTGGGCCCATAACCTGTTGAACTAGCCATCGTGGTGGATAAACGAGTTAGTAGAGGAATAAATACGCGATACTTAACGCCATTTTTATATTATATCAAGCGAACGAATAATAGAACACGAGGCAAGATCACAGGGTTACAAAGTTACATGGCCCAGTCCTCCTAACAACAACAACAAAATTTGTAACTATGATTAAAAACTAAAGTTTAATACTTAACAATAAGGGCATACATTTAAATGAGCAACTTTTTACATGAACAAATGAGCAACTATTTTTGTATCTTTTCAAATAACATTTAATATCATTATGATTGACGGCCCTTTAAATTGTTTGTGTTACTTCATAAATTGGCAATACTAACCAGATAATCAAGCCTACTGAATATTCAGTACACCCTCAAAACAAACATGTCAGGAAAGTAGAGTATGAACCAAACACCCTGCTATCTCTATGGAAAACCCTTAGGGAGTTGCTGGGCAGGAAATAACTTATTTCAAATTTTCTCAACTGGTTGCAAATTCTTTATGGTCTTTTGCTTCCAAATCCTTTTCTTTTTAAAAATACACATTCATGGAAGATCAAGATGACCTGTCTTGGAATGGTTAACAAAGCAACTTTGCTTTGATGCCTTATGTTATAAACTCAAAGACACAATGCAAAACAACAAATGCATACCTTTATTATCAATTGCTACTGAACTTAGACCATTCACTTTGGCATTTCCTTCTACAGAGCTTCGGTGAGCATGTTTTCTTCTACAGAGCAATATTGCAATAACAATAGACACCAATAGCAGCAATGGTCCCAAAACTGCACCTGCAATTTCTCCTTTTGACAGGCTTCCAGGCTCTAACGTAAACAAAAATTCAAAGAAAACTGTTTTTCTGGTGAACAGAAAAAAAATAAGCTGCATTTCATGAAAGAGGTTAATTTCACAAGGGTGTTTATCCTTTATTTGCTTCACTCTAAGTTGGTATCCGATTGCTGTTCATTATGGTCTTTTGTGACATGCTTCTTGATGTTTTACTTGTACCCATTCCACAAGAATATGTGAAATGCTGTGGAGTCCTCCGGGGTCCTCCTGGGGTTCATTGGTTTAGAATACTAGGGTAGGTGTGCGCCTTGGTAGCAATTTTACTGGTTGACCTAGGGGTATTTATTGGCTTGACATACAATGGACCTTTTTTGCTTGGCAAAGCCTTATTAAGATTAATTATCATTTTGATTCATAAAAAGAGAATTTACTTTCTTTGGTATAACCCTGACAGTTTTAATCTCTTTTTGTCAGCATCATAAAAAATTCTCATACCTTTTGAGAATATTCTATGCTATTGGCATTTTGATGCTTTTTGGAAGGACTGGTGCATCGGCCTATAGAGAGAAATTGTAACTTTCTTGTCCATTCCCTCCACAATATCATTTATATTTGGGGTTTTTGTAACCTCCCTTAGAAATCTTTTCCAATGAGACGCTAATGGCAGGTTGAGCAACTTGCACCTATGCAACGACAGCCTAATTCTCTCTTGTTGTGGTGGGAAAGTACCCTCAAAAATGACTTTCTTATTTCTATGGAAGGTTTTTTCTGAGGGAACACCTTTGATCTACAACTTGCATTGTAACATCTGTCCCAAGTTAGGAAAATTAATGCATTCTTACACTAAGCCCTAACAAGGAGGAAGGAGAGATTAAGAGGTAATAGAAGTAAAATCAAGTTTGATGAGTTTTGTTTTGAAGAAAAACAGGTTATAAGATGTTGTTAAAAAATTAGAAATTGGAAGCAAATCTGATGAGATTCAAAGGATTACAGATGACTGTCAAGTAAATGAGCTTTTATTTGAAAGGAGAGTTGCAACTAAGAACCATCATGTTATACACACAAAAGAATATACCTGTATGTATACTTTCAATTTTGTACTCAACTTTAGAAATATTGCATTTCACGAATTTTATCATTACATTTCAACAATAAGGCATTATAAATACCAACCTGAAATCTCCTTGCACTCTGTATTTCTAGACCCATCACACTTGAAGACAACCTTATGTCCAGCTGAGCATTTTGAGCAATTGTGGCACTGATAATGATCAAGTGTAAACATGCCCTGCAAAACCAGATTTTGCTTCACAACAAAGGTAAGTTGAAAAAAAGAATTAATGCCACTGAATAAAACAGTTCACAAACTTTTTAGCTCATTACATTTTATTTATTACAAGCTTGAAAAAATCCTTCAGGGCTGTCAGAATGAGATGTAATCTAGAGAATGGGTTCCATGAGAAGAGGAGGATGTGCAAATTTCCAAATTTTACAGAAAGTTTTTTTCTAATAGATAATAAACTACAATGAGAGTAGAACATTACCAGTGGACACTTGGAAACATCTGCATTTTCATATTTGGAGCAGTTTCTTCGATAATACTCTCCATCCCCAGTAATCTTGCAGGGAAAACATTGATGTTTCAACTCAATGAAATATTCTTTACCCGGGCATTCACACCGCAGGTTCTCATGTTTGGAGCAATTTGCAACAATAACCTGTCCACCAATACACTTTGTATCACATCTATAAATTGTAAAATATATTTGAAACAACAACATTCTAGGAACTCTATATGCACAAAACACCTTTGGAAATTGATAATGATGTTGTTATTCAACAAAATAAATTTGGCATCAAATGAAATGTATATTTAATACTAGTTATTTGATAATATAGTACAAATATAAAAGATCATTTATAAATAAACATAATTTTACTTTTAAATTTTAATTTTTCCAGAAATTTTTTTTTAATGGTCCTTGTTGTTTCAGGCTGTTACTGCCTATTTCAAAAATCTGAAAGGTTTTTGTGACACAATCAGGGATCCAATTTGAGTTAGCTCAAATGAGCCAAAATTTATAAGATTTGTACTTGAGTAAAATGAGACTTACGGTCTGCAGGTACCATTTTTTGGTAGAAATTGTCCCTCAGGACATGCATATGCTACCTTGAACAATAGAATGATAAATGTAAAAATTAATGCAAAAGATCATGGGAAAGCAGACGCCATCGCATCACCCAAAAGTTACAAATTAATAAATTGAAAACTTGAAAACTTACATTCTGAAAACTACTATGGTGCATAGAACTGAGAAATTCACTTAAAGAAAAGAATTTATTAGATAGGCCTAGATCATACAATTCTTACCTAGGCGAAGTCTAATGTGAAACATGAACGTCAGTTTTCAAAAGCAAATTTCTTGCGGCTTGTAGTCTTATGATATTTTTCTATAACATAAGCCTTGTGCTGGTAGGACAGGGGGTTATTGGAAGTAGTAGTATTCGAGAAAAGAAATTAAAAATGAAAAAGCACAACGCGAATTGTTAGGAGTTCCACGTAATTTTGTTTAACATTAGAACTATATTTTGATGTTAGTGTAATTTTTCCATATCCCAATCATTCACATGTGCTATCAAAGAAAACTGTCAAGAAATCAAATCAAAATTAAAATTTGTATACATGTCTAGTGATCTGAATAGAGGTGGGCTGCACATTACATTAATAACGGGATTGAAATATTACTTTGCGAGATTTCCCGTTTTGGCCATGGAAATCATAACAGATCCAAATCACGAGAAACTACTTACCGGTAAAATGAGGAAAAGAACTGTGCCCGGATTCTTAAGACTGGACTTGCCTGCCATCTTCCTTATAAATCACTGCAGTTCTGACAGCAGCGCCTTGTCACCAAAGTTTCCAGATTTTTCTGATAGAGATCAAATGGCTTAGGTGTCATTACTTTGAAAGGCGCTAGTAGGCCCTACAGGATTGCCCGACCAGTTATCAAACCAAAAAATCTTCCAGAAATTTCACAGGTACTTGGTGCAAATGGTAGACCTTGCTTAGAAAACTATTTGCTTGGAATTATATAGATGTTGGGTAGGTGTTGAGGTGATATATTCATTTAACCGAAAACGAGCTACAGAACCAACCAGCTACTTGAGATTGATGACTCATAAGCTTCTATTTTACAACATGATGCAATCGAATAGAAACACACCCTTAGTCATTTATGACCAATCAAGCAGCGAGCGGTTGAATCAAATCGCCATTTTCCCAAGGCTTATAGCATGTATGTGTATGTAAAATCATGGTAAAATCTTGCCATATGTAAAAAATTAAATGTACTTTAAACTTTGGAAAAAATAAAAAGAGGGCTTATTACATATGTGCAATATATGATAATAGCTAAATGAACTTAGCATGAAAAGGTCAGAGTTTTTATGAAAAAAATAAGTGTTTTATATATTCTGTGGCAAAGGTAAAAAAGTAACGTGCTTGTTATTTTTGTAGCTTTTGAAAGTTCAGTAATATACAAAGGGGCTGTTTTCTTGATTTTAGAGGTCTTTAAAGAATATATTCTTGATCTTTTGCTTGAAACTGTTTACGTTCTTAGCAGATTTCAGGTCAGAGAGTGTAGGCCGTTCTTGATTTCGGGTCTTAGGTAAGAGAGAGAGAGACTATTTGTCCTGTGTTTCTGTCTCGAAAAGGTTGATTCGATTTGTTTTTAGGCCCTCGATTTATCCGGTTCTGGCCAACTGGTATGAACATCTCTGATACATAGGACTGGGCTGACTTATGAAAAAATTGAAACTTTTTTAGCAGTGCATTGTTCAAATCTCTCTTTAATTGGAGGCCAAATTATACCTTTAAATTCTATGATTCCTACGTGTGCCCGTGTACTCTATTTTTTAGATTCAACATGATACATTCGGTTAACCTTTATTAAGCAATAGAAACCAAGCACTGCATGTATAGTTGAAAAGGAGCTTGATTAGCGCACTTGGTGAATCTATTAGCTGCCAGCAGAGGCGAATCTCGCCTCAAAAATCTGAGGGGGCTAGCCGGGGGCCAACCCTATTTATTACTTTGTGAACTAGTAGAGTGTAAAGCTGTGGTGTAGTGGCTCAAAATTGCCAATTCTATCAAGACTGATGAAACTTCAATGTAAAGATCGATCAAGGGATTGGTAAAGGTAACCACTAAGAAAAGGTTTTGAATTACACGCTTCTTTAAATTTATACTACAAAAAACGAAATCCCTAAGGAACTTATCCATTTGAAAAATTTTTACAACTGCAAGCAGCAAGAACTAAAAAGCCGGTTCCATTCATTTGCAGCCAATACTCGCATAGATTGTTTGCTATTCGTGTGTCAAGTGCTTCATTGAGTAGTTTCTGCATCTGCTGTCTCGCCCCTCTCTCTATTAAATGTTAAGGCTTATTGCAGTCAAAACAAATTAAGGAACTATTAAGGAACTTTTGGTATTACAATTTGATGATTCGAGGTCTACGAATAAGGAACTTTTGGAACTAGGCCTTGAGGTAGGTTCCTTATAAACAAAATGCGTGTATTACATTCTGAGGATGACCTGAAACTGCATTTAAATATCTACAACATTCTTAGGTTTAGGCCCATAGAAGATACAAAAAAAATATTCGATTTTTTCATCATAAAGCCCGATAGTTTTATTAGTGGCGTAACGTGGATAGGTGCGCCCCCTAGGAAAAAAAATGTCGCTGAGAGCCCCTAAAGGTTGGGAACCCTTTCTTCTTTAACTTCGGTCCGTTACTCCAATAAGTTTTGTCTGCTTAACAAAAAAACATGAACATCAGGTTATCCATTGAAGAACTATACTTTTGAACATAAAAGGCTTTGTAAAGTTGATTGGTAAATTTTCCATAGTAGTTATGTCTTATATCCAACCTTCATGAAATCAAGCAATCATAGAATTCAGAATTTCGATATTCAATCGTAGATTGCCAAGGTATATTGGGATGGTATTGGTATTTCCCTACGCTGGGTTCCAGAGCGAAAAGGGTTTTCAATGGGATGCAGAGAAGCTTGCTTTGGACTCATCCTGCGCACCCCACTGTCAGGGCCCCCAGCTTGTTAATTAAATGCAATTAAGAGTCGCATTGGGCAAAATAGAGGAGGGCAACCCTAACAAAGCCAAAAAATGATTGAACAGC